TAAAGACCGTTTAGGTGTGTTAGGATTTTTATTTGCTTTCCTTGGGAGAAGTGTAGCTCTACATTTCGGTGTCGTAACGTTTTTGGGCGTTTTCGGCCATTTCGTGGAAATGTTTCTTTTCCTTGTCCAACATGGACTTCTCCATTTCTTCAAGGATTCATCGAAGACGACCTTCTCTTCATAATGTTTCTTTTTCTGCTCTTCTCTGCTTGTTTACACAAAGAAAGCATTAGCAGTCATGCGACCTCTGGGCCTAGCGTCACTCTTAACACAAAACATTCGTCTCTTGTGAGGTATTGAAGTTTGGAAAAGTATCTGTTGATGTTGTTGTAAAGCCTGTACTTATTTTGGCATTTGAGAATGTCCTTTTATACATTCCTAGTACCGACAGCTATCTAAAGCTATAGAGAAAATCTGTAGATACATTTAATAACGTGCCGACACAAATAACACTAAAGAACTCTTCGATAAAGTCAGGGTACTCAAAACATAAATTTAAGCAGAAATCTTCGTTTGGTTTAAAGATGATAAAGGCAATGTACAGACAAAGTTATATATGTATGAAGGGGTATTGTGTGTCTTTATACGCTGATACGGATAAGATGCATGCGTACACCCTTTATGTACCTGGATTTCAGGCCTCCAATTTCCACTCCTCTTTAACAGGGACACATCACACTTCTCTCATAGACACCGACAACACAGTCTTTGAATCTGAACCTGCCATACTTTTTTCCGAGCTTGAATTTTCTCTGAAAAGACTTAAGTTAAACAAAGCAGCAGACTATGATTTCATTACTGATGATGTCTTGAAAGATTTTTCTGTATGTAGCGAAAGAATATTATATCGATTGATATAATATTCTGTAATGAAATCTGGTAAACATGCGTCTGGAAAGACCATAATCATAACTCTACATAACGAACGTTTAACAAATAATTGTAATAACTATATACTGCTACTTCTATCACACGCCAGTAAGGTCATCCTCGGACTCCTGCAACGTCGTCTAGAAAACTTCATAAGTTAGCAAACAGCACCTAAGCAGGCTGGATTTGTGAAGAGCAGAGGTACTAGAGAACAAATTCTTAATGTAATTAACATCGTGGCAGGAAATACCAGATCCCGATATTTATATGCTTTGTTGACTATGCAAAGGCCCTTGATAATGTTAGATGGGACAAACCATGGAACATACTGCACTTGAAGAAATATGTGTTTTATTTTCCTTATTATTTAACCTCTATACAGAGTTCATATTGCGCAGAGTTTTGGATCTCTCAACTTTCTTGTCATATCCATGGAACCGATCCTAAACTGTAGCAGTTGTTGGTCCAAGGAATATCTCAGATCAACGCCAACGTATCAGATCTCGACAAAGATGAGCAGACATCACAAACAAGCTTCTTAAGAAACAGTATACTGAGGCAGTAAATGTAACAGTTGACTGCGACCAGAGGAGAGATATCATTAACCAAACTATCCGAGCTGCTGAAGCTCAATGATGAACCCCAGCACATTTGTTAAGATGTTAATGGCTATGATGATGAGAAGACTTCCCTTGAACAACATTTTTCGTAGGGTTTTTTTAATCCTCTTTTTAGTTTCTTTGAAGTACTACAGAATACTCTCAACTAAGTTTTCCAATATTCATTATTTCCATGACCAGTATTTTCTGTTTGATTTTTGCACCCTTTTTTCTTTTTGTGTTAATTCTCTTTTCGCCAACCCAGCAACTAATTCGTGATCTGTTTTTACTTAGGACATGCTCTCTTTTAGTTTAGTGTAGGTATATTAGTATTAGTACAATTAGTACAATAAGTAATATTGTTAATAAAAAATTTAACAAGCTGTGAACTTTTTTATTATTATTGTCAGGCAAATGGTAAGTTGATTGCATGTTTCTGTTTCGTTTAAAAAAAAAATAGAAAATATTGGTTTAAATAAATAGTGTTAGTTGTGGATATTTTCATTGTCGGTATAAAAGCTATTGAAGCTTGCAGTATATTCAGTCTTGTACAGCAAGTAAAACAAAAATGGATTGTATAAAGATTGTCGCTGAAAAATTCATCTTTACAATTATTGTAATATTTTTATAACTCTTATCTTTTTGTTATAAAACTGCTCCTAAACAAGCCACATTTTACTGCACTATGTGGCTCCAATACTGGCAACAATGGCCCAGCCATTTCTGGTAATATTGAATGCAGCAAATTACTCTTTTAATCTCTTTTTCCTCATTATTGACGTACGATCTCAAGCATATGAATTTTTTGTATACTTCATCACTTAAAATCTCAAATTTTTCAGTGACAACAGCCCATCTATCTTTTTTTGCATTTCGATCTTTATATATTTCGATTTTCACATTTCACAACTCAACTCGCGAAAATATATTTCGTTAATAAAATGTGTGATCCTATTATTGGACCAATTATTAGTCATTTTATTCATTCAAAATTTTCCGAAATAACAAATAATTGCCAAAACAAAGTAAATACCAAAAATATGTAACTATTACTGGCTATATAGCCGACCGATAGATGCTAAAAACACTTCACAACTTTTATATTGCATAGTCTGGCCCTTTTTGTTGACTATATTGCCAGCTACTGTGTTGCAACGACATATTGCAGTAAAAATATTACTCGTTAGAGGCACCTTAAGAATGTGTTCAACGTTTTTTTTTTTTAAGTTTTAATTCCCCATTATAAAAATTTCGATATAATCGATATAACAGTTACCTCCTTACTATACATGATTTATTTTATAACCATTGCAAAAATCACTATAAAATAAAGTCTAATTCCTCACGGCACCTATCACGTTTACTTTCGCAAAAAATAAACTCTTGCACAAACATTTTCTTTGTGGACTTATGTAAGAAATCTACCAGAGTGGATGTGGTTTGATATTATCTAGAAATATACAATTTTTTATAGATTTTAATATTACAATTGTATAAAAGCGTAGAAATATTAATGAGATAGTGTAGTTCATACAGGTTTAAAAGTAAGACTTGAAAATAACATACAGGGACTTTCAATAGGGACTTCCTAATTTTGACAGCTGATACTGGCCATATTATTTGAAGCTACATCTATCAAATTGGCTGTAATTTATTCAGTCTATTATGACAAAATCACTATGCGTGGATATAGCCTACAACATCACGTGCAAATTATAAAATTATTTTTGTGGCAAATAAATTTGGTTTCCTGATTCATTAAACAATCAACCAATATCTTTATGTCGATGATACGCAAGATCTGCTGAAAATATCGCCGCTGTCCATGAGAGTGTGTCGAAGAATCTGAAGAAATCAATTTCACGTCCCTCACAATAACTTCTGGGAACACAACTTCGTGAATTTTGCGTTGTGACTCGGGCTTGTTAGAGCTAATAGCTAAACTCGGTTTCATCGTTCTTGTCGTGTGCCTGAACTAAGCTACTACGGAATTTTTAATATTCGTCTCTCTCTGATACACATGCGTAATTCAATTGTGCGAGTCACGTTTGTCATGATAAAGTGCGATGAGAAGGGAATGAAGAGACCACTCACGTCTCCCAGTATTGTAGCAATAACACCGATGCGTTTGGCCGATACGGTGTCGGTGATAAGTTCGGCCTCTTTACCAATACAGATAGCTGCCACTGGAGGAGGTAAACGAATCGAGCTTAGATAAGGAAAGACAGATGAAACAACTTATTGCAAGTGTTTTTACACGCACACGCCAAGAAAGATGAAAACGTCTATAACAAAATTTACCTAAGCTTAGAGCTGTACGTAAACAACCATAGGCAATGATGTGTGTTCATCAAAAAACCAACTTTAACGATGAGGCTCATTTTTGCATAAATGAATCAGATAAAAACAGAATTGTCGAATTTGGGACGATATTAATCTAGGTAAGATCCAAGAGCATTAATGCCTTCCGAAAAAGTCACTGTTTGATGTGAATTTTGAGCTGGCGGCATCATCGCTCTATATTTCTTTGATAACGACGTTGACCAGGCAAACACCGTCAACGTCTGAGCGTTATAGGTAGATAATTACCAATTTATTTTGAACAGAATTTGAATAATATGGACACCAACGACCTGTGGTTTTAACAGGATGGAGCTTCGTGCCACGTTATACATTCTGCGCAAGCGATTTTAGCCCGGTTATCTCATGTGCAGGAAATCTGAATTGGCCACTAAAATTGTGCGATTTTAGTGGCCAATTTATGCGCAAGTGTCATGGAAAATTGGAAATTTTCGAATGCGCTCCATCCAACGAAGCCGCAGCGGGCATTTGAACGATGCTATATTTCATAGGTACATAATCTCATCAACAGACCTGTTAAGCGAATAAAAAATTAAAGAACATTTAATAATGTAAAATTAAGTTTTAAAGATTTTTTAATTTGCCAATTTATTTACTATATATTATACCATTTACAATAAGTAAAATATTGTTATTATTCTTCTACTTTATGTTTTGATAAACATAAAATGTCGGATTTAGCTTCCATTGATGTTATTTGACCAACTGTTTCTTGGGCATCCTATTGTCCTTCATCGACTGAACGATGAGTCTCTTGTTATTCTTACACATATATTTGCTGACAATCTTTCTTTATGTTTAGTGTGTTATCTGTATTAAGCCAAGATAAAGAAGGAGAGTTTCATGATAAGGTAAGCCCCCTGCTTTGAGTAAAAAATTAATTGTTTAAGCAGTCTTGGACATGGACGGTAAGTAAATTATTATAAAAGTAATAATTGACTTAAAGGGAAATGCCAAGCGACATTCCTTTATATTAATACTGCTGGCAATAATATTACTAATAGCCTCGGGGATCGGTTTGGCTAAAATCTTCTCAGGTAGTGAATTGGTGTATTTGGGTTCGGTTTTACTATCTTTATAGTGATTTTATCAAATTCTGATACGGTTTATAGAATATTCTGTGAGTTTTTGGGAATATCTATGGCTGTATTTAGCAATTTTTTTCTTTTTGGTCTTGATCTTCATAATGATATTCGGCACAATAGAGCGTAAGTCATTCTCACGAAAACTTTAAACTGGAATTTTACTGTTAAAGTTCACCACGAGCCTTTAAAACCGAAAATGAATAAGGTTTGTCCATGCCAACCATAATTATTCTAAAAAGACCTCCACTCAAAGAGCTACCTGATGGAAACCAAATTATATCTAAAGGTTACCGGAAGAGTTTCACGGTGTTTGTCGACTGACTGTGTTGGAGAAAAGATGTGCCATAAAGTCTACTGCATACGGGCGAAAAAATTCTATTGATAACTTTAAAAACCAATTTTTAAATTTTGTAACGAATTAAAAATTAACCACATATTTACAATAATAGACTATACATTTACAATAAGGCAAACGCAGGAAAAATTCTAAGAACGGATTACCGAACTACAACATCTTTTTGTAGATTTCAAACAAGCGCATGACTATTAGTCAAAAGTAACCAACACCAAAGCAAAAGTAAGAATCCAAATTCAACTGTACGATAAATTTAATATCAACGAATGTCTAACACAAGGAGATGCGTTATCTACAATACTTTTTAACCTTGCGTTGGAACAAGCTATCAGGAAAACCCCTGCAGATAGAAACGGTATAATATTAACAAAGATGAACCAACTCATAGCTTAAGAAGATGATAAAAATATAATTAGCTGGACATTAAAATACTTACAAAAGGTTTATGCATATTTTAAAAAAGCGATACATACTATGGGTCTAGAAGATAATGTTTCAAAGACAAAGTACATCAGAACAACTCGGGAATAAGTATAAATGAAAAGCACTCACATAACTTTTCACACAATGAGATAAAAACAGTGATGAGGGAACAGCGACAATTTCACTTGGAAACAAATGTTTCTACAGTCTACAGAATATTATAAAGTCAAATTTAATATCTATTATATACTAATTAAACAAAACAAATATATACAACAGAGACCCGTAGTAACGTATGCATCAAAAACATGGACTTTGACTAGTGAACAAGAGGAACAACTTCTTAGAGGGGAAAGCAAAATTTTAAGGAAAATATATAGAGAGAGGAGCTATAAAGGAGAATGGGGAAAGGCGTATAAGAATAAACCATGAAATAACTAGAATATTTAATAGATCGCCTATCATAAAAGAAGTACAATGCAAACGACTGAGTTGGTTCGGACACGTAAAACGGATGATGGATGGATGATAAGAAAAATACAAAAAGAGTACCTAGAAAAAAATTAAACGGGAAAACGAGAAGGGACCGAGGGATGGGCCTAGAAAGAAATGGATTGATGGTTTTAACCAGGATTTAAAAGAACTAGGAATACGAAAATAGGAAAAACAAGCAAAGAAAAAAACATGGTCAACTGTAGTCAAGGAAACAAAGTATATATGACACTGAAATGACATCCGCAAAGAAGACAAACTAGAAAGTAACAATTTTAGATATAACATGCTAGTCTTTTTGAGGAGATATGTGGAGACTGGCTTCCACACCATGTAAAACTTTAGAGCCTAAAAACCCCAACGAGCGACCATGGCTCTCCATGGGCTGTCAGTGGTCATAAATGATGATGATAATGATGATAGTGAAAAAGTGTTACGAAGTTTTACTTCAGAAACTAAAACGATGATTTAACCATAACCTAAAGAGCTATGGCCCCGTTCTTTGAGTTATACAGCTCAGTCATCCTATGCTATCCTCTTCCAATCCTAATACTACCACCACCTGAAACCAACTATAGGTCGTTTGTACATAGGTTTTTGCAACTATAGGTCATTTTCTGCATCATCTATCCATGCATTTAGTGGCCTTTCTTTGAGCCTACCAGGTCATTGGTAATTTTGTTCAAGATTCAGCCATAACATTGGACTTTCACATTACACAGCACATTGTGCTTATACTCCACTATACCTTCTCTCTGATTGCTCCTTAAATTCTTTTTAGGATCTTACTTATTTATGCTTTAAAGGTAATTTCATCTTGTCTGATTATAATCGATGTTTAACAGCCGTACAAAATAATACAGGTCTGTACCATCGTTCATATAGCCAGCCACATACGATATATAAGGTTAATTTGTAGTGCGCACTAGACATGCTGAGTAAATATATTGTTACTAAGTAAAGTCGGCTTCAATGTCTTTACAAAAAACCCTTTATTATATTTAAACAACTGTGGTACCCCGGGCGATTATCGATCCAATAAAGACGAGTCTTCATTGTTTTATAAAAAGTTCCACCCCTGGCAGAAGTTGAAACTGCACCTCCAGGTGTTAACACTCAGTAGGTAAATGCTCTTATTACTCCGCCACAGGGACAGAAGCCTTAATGTAATTTCATGCTTGGATCTGCTCATCAACGTCAAACTTTGGAATTTCAGTGAAGTAATACACGAGGTGTTTAAAGGCTACATTATTAAAGATTTACTGTAATTTTTTGCCTGTTTGTGCAGTATTCTGTGATCATGAAAAAGACGAAAAGACTTTCTCTGAAAAGGCGACTAAAAAATACAAAAGAACAAAGATTAATTCTGTTCAGTAATAGAGCATTGTCAATATCGCCAATAATGATTGCCAACGTCAGCGGAACGGATAAGGCACATAAAGAAGAAGAATGATTTTTTGGAATGGTTTTAAATGTAATGCTAATTAATATATGGTAAATGAATTGCGTCATATTATTTTCACCATCATATTAGCTTGACGCTGCGTTTTGAGTCTGGAACTTCCAATTTTTTCTACAAATTTCTAATCTGCGCTTGCTTGCTGAAGAAAGCCTTATAAAACTTTCAAAATAATACCATAGAAGATTTGTTGTGTTCTATTTCCGTCTTACTAGATAGTACTTACACTTTTAAATAACTTTATTACGCTTTTTGATACGATTTTGATATAAGATCGATCACAGATGTTTTTTTTTTCTTTCATAATTACATACTTAATAGTATTTGTAATTTAGAATAGATAGAATGAAAAAACCACTCTAGTAAATATCTTGTGCAAGCCCATTTTTTTATATTTTGTATTTAAAAATTCGTTCATAATGTGTGTAGGTAGCTTTAGAATATAACATTGTTGCAAAAACTAACTAATGACAATATTTTTAACGAACGCTCAAAAACATTTTTAAAAAATAACAAAGCACTTAAATGCACCAATTGTCTTAAATTTCGAAAAATTTTACACTTTGTTGCAGTATCTTTTTATATAGGTAAAATGTGTAGTTGACTGAATGCGTGATATTCTACGTGACTGTTGAAAGATGATCCAAGTTTCTGAAACAAAATTAAAACAAAAACTTATTAATATAAACATAATATTATATTATTATTAGGTGTAATATATGCAGGTTTGGCAAGTTCGTGAGATTTATACAATATAGAAATAGCCCCTTGACAAAAAAGAAGAAGTATTAATATTCTAGAATATTCTAGATGTCATCGAATTATCCCGAAATGTCTCTTAAGTTCCAGAATGTGAGAAAATGTATATAAACAAGAAACTGACAATTCAACCAATAGTATCTATTATAGTAATTGAGTTTTTGAATAGTTTTGCCATTCAGCTAAAGTTGTTTTTAAGTATTTTTAACATTACTTTAATGAAAGTGATTAGAAAGAAGTGTAACATTGGTGACAGCAGTATAATTAAAAAAATATTAAGTAATTTATTAGTGGTTAATAGAAGATCTACTGTATTTGATAAAGAAATGGACACTCCGGACTTCCCGCATGGTTTTTAAAATTGAAAGACGAAAAGGAGAAGCGAATGCAAGAAGAAGAGGAAACGGAGAGGAAAGATGATAAAAAAAAAGAAAGAGGAGAGACGTAGACAAAAAGATGAAGACAAAGAAGAGAGGCACAGAAAAGTAAAGGTAGAAATCATAAATAGTGTATCCCAAATTCAGTTTTCAATTCAATTTTTAAGAAGAAAATTACTAATTAGAGTAGACAAATTAAAAGAACAGCAGACATATATAAAAATCATTCTAGAAAATAAAATAGTATAACAACGAAACAATTTAAAAACCGATTTAGAAAATTAAAACAATAAAACTATTTAACGCAGAGATCGGTCTAAAGCAGGATGAACAGGTAACAGCACTGGGTAAATTTGGATCCAAAGGCAGAAACGAGCGTGGGCAAACACTACTAGAATTTCTATTACGGACTTCCCGTATGGTTTTTAAAATTGAAAGAAGAAGATAAAGAGAAAGAAGAGAGGCACAGAAAAGTAAAGGTAGAAATCATAAATAGGTTATCTCAAATTCAGTTTTCAATTTATTTTTAAGTTAGCAAATTACTACTAGAGTATTCAAATTAGAAAAACAACAAAACGATATACAGTGATGAGTGCTTTACCATCCGGCTTTTTAACGTAAGAGATGGAAAACACAGTTACCTTGTGAAACAAAAAGAGATAAAACTCGTAGAGGTGGGAAATAATCGATAGAAACCTATAATTTACATTACATTGCATTACCACCATCGACAGTCTCACACCTTTAGACGTTAGACGTGGCTATTTGACTTCAGTCATAATTATACGAATAACCTCAATTTCTGATGTTAGAATAAATACTTGAATAAATTAAGATATATTATAGGAGAAAACATTCATTAGAGGCGATTTTAAATTATAAATCTTTAAATTTATTTAATAGTAAAAATAACTCAACTGAAATATTTGACTAAAATAAAGGTAGGTATGTTTTGTCCGAAAACAATTAATGTATGTGAAATTGGTGTAGTGGTTAGGGACGTTGTCTATTGACGAGAAAATTGGGGTTCAATTCACACCAAAGATAAAATTTTTGTTTTATCAATAAAAAAATAATAGTAAATATGATACATATTGGGTAACAAATTTTCGAAAAACTCATTATTTGCAATTTATTTTTATTCCAATGTTGTAAAACGGAAATACAAAATAATTCAAAATTAATTCATACAGTCTTCAGTTGTGAATGCAAAATAATCCGGTGAAGACTGTTTATATAAAATCCATCACTACATTCTCAATGTTAATATCAATTCCTTTGTACAGGTAATGATTTTCAAAACAATTGACAATATTGGAATGGATGCGCGCGAAGCAAAGCCTTTAAGCTATCAAATAATAACATATCGAGAAGTGTTTTTGCACGGTAAACAGAAACTTTTTATTGAAAAAACAATTCGTGAAAATGGTTTTAACGGTCGAGGAAAAAGTGCAAATTGTTGTCTGGCATGTGAATGGATTCTCAGACAACATGATTAGACAAAAAATTGTAAATATGTTTCCAAATAGGCCGGCTCCATCACGATCAACAATTCAATCTATTATACGTAATTTTATACTTATGGATCCGTGTTCGCTCCAAGAGGAGTTTAGATGAAGGGAGGTAAAACCAGATTTGGAACTAAGGGACACTTTGATTTGTGCAAGTATTGAGCAAAATCCTACCCAATCAACATCTCGTCTCGGAGAACAATATGGAATTTCAAGATTTAGAGTTGGTAAAATTTTGAAAAGACATGGATACCGACCCTATAAACTTCATAATAAATCCAACGAACAATTCCCTGGGGATCGATATAGACATTTAGAATTTTGTCAAACTGCAATGGAAATGTCACATCAAGATGAACATTTTTTAGAGAACGTCTTGTTCACCGATGAATGTACGTTTCCATTGCATGGCCGTCACAATTCAATGAATGCTCGGTATTGGTCCCGAGGAAATCCTTGTCAGATTTATGTCGCTCGTACCCACCGTCCTCAAAAAGTAAATGTTTGGGGAGGCATAATAGGGAATCATGTCATTGGTCCATTTTTTATAGAGGGTATGTTGACTGGGCGCAAATACTTGGAACTTCTACAAAATCAAATTGTCCCAGCCCTTCGTAATTTACCAATTCCTTTCGATTCCATATGGTTTCAACACGATGGTTGTCCTGCACATAATTCTCTATCTTGATCTGTTCTTAGTATCGAATGTGTGTCTATACCTGTTCAGTCTCTTACATTCTTAAACCAGAAGCATTTTCTTCTTCCTAGACCTCTTCTTCCTTCCACTTTCCCTTCCATTATAAGGAAGGGAAAGTTATATTTTCTCCTCTGTAAATATGTCCTAGATAATTCGTTTTTCTGTTTTTTTTACAATATTTAGGAGTTCTCTCTCAGTACCCATTCTTCTTAGCACCTCGTTATTGGTCACGTGCTCTGTCCAAGAGATCTTCAGCATCCTTCGAAAAACCCACATCTCAAAGGCTTCTATACGCCTCATACTTGTAATTCCGAGAGTCCATGTTTCCACTCCGTATAGCAATATGGAATACATAAACGTTTTTACAAATTGGTATCGGATATCCAACGATAACGTAGAGTTTATTAGGAATTTTTTCATTTGTTGAAATAAGGACCTAGCATATTCCATACGAGCACGTATTTCGACCTCGTGGTCAAGATCGTTTGTTATCCAGCAACCAAGATACTGGAATCTTTGTACTGGTTCTATATGTTTGTTATAGATACGAATATTAATGTCGACATTTGGTGCACGTGTAACAGCCATTACTTTTGTTTTATTTGTGTTTATATTTAGTCCCAAGCTATCTCTCTCTCTGGTTATGACATTCAAAAGTCGTTGTAAACTCTCAGCACTGTCTGCAATAATGACGGTGTCGTCTGCGTATCTTAAGTTGTTTACGTATTCTCCGTTAATCTTTATTCCTTCTTCAATATTTTCGAGGGCATTTTGAAAGATCTTTTCGGAATATATATTAAATAACAGTGAAGAAAGTACTCAGCCCTGACGAACTCCTCTTTTTATTGGCAATCAAAGAAAAAGTAGATGAATAAATGTGGAAGAACAAAAACTGTCAGTTTTATTTAATATTTGACTCAAACTGAAACAAAATTTTATTTAAGTTTACTCTATACAGGGATACGCTAAAAAGATATTCGATTTTGTTAAAAAAAATACAGTGTTCAACTTTTCACATCTGGCTAATTGACTATGCCAAAGCCATTATACAACAAAAAAAAAACATTTCACATGCGAAACACCATATTTTATTTTTCGCTGTATCATTCCTTTCATTTTGCTATTCCCACCCTCAAGAAACTGTCGAAATTACCAAAAGGATAAGGTTAGCGTGGGCGGAATTTTGAAAATTGTGTTGGATCTTAAAAAGCACTAAAATAGAACAATATTTAAAAACCAGAATTTACGATCAGTGTTTCTTTCCTATACTCACGTATGGTTCACAGACGTAGACACTCACCAAGTCTAATATGAATAAAATAGTAAAGGCCCAAAGAGCGATGGAATGATCAATGCTCGGAGTGACACTTATAGAAGAAAAAAAAAACAAACAAATGGATTAGAAGCAAAACCAAAGTAAAAGACGCATGAGAACATGCCCCCAAATTAAAATGGAGCTTCTTCTTCTTCTTCAAGTTCCACTCCTATCGGAGATTGGAAATCATTCTGGCAATTATAATTTTATTGGTGACTCGCCTGAACAGTTCAATTGAACTGCATCCAAACCATTCACGGAGATTGCGTAGCCACGAGATTTTACGTCTTCCTACGCTTCTTCTACCTTTGATTTTACCCTGCATTATAGTCCTTAGTAGTTCGTATTTTTCACCTCCCATGATGTGACTCAAGTATTCCAATTTTCTGATTTTTATGGAATTTAAAACTTCGCATTGTTTTCCTAGTTGTTCGAGAACTTGTTCGTTTGTTTTGCGATCCATCCATGATATTTTCAAAATACGTCGGTAACACCACATTTCGAATGCTTCTAGGTTTTTAATGTTGGATTTTCTAAGTGTCCAAGCTTCAACTCTATACAAAAGGGTAGAGAAAATATAATATTAAAGCATTTTTATCCGGAGCGATATATTAATATCGCGATTACAAAAATGGAGGTTCATAGGACATAATACCCTACTGAAGGATAAAAGATGGAACCATGAAATACAACAATGAAGACCATGTTTAGGAAAGAGAAGCAGAGAAAGACGGCAATTGAGATAGGCTGATGACATTAAGAAGATCGGAGGACACAATTAGAAGCAAGTGTCGCAAAATACTACAGGACTACATAAGAAGATCAAAGAAATATCGAATATACACAAAAGCCACCACAGAACAAGAATACGCAACGACAGAAACGAATACATAGAGTCAGAAGAGATAGCAATGGCGTGGAAAGAATACGCAGAAAGCCTTTTTAATGACGAAAGACCAACACAACCAACGCGCAAACTTCCTTACGAAAACTTATCAGGGCCATCAATAATGCGAAGTGAAATAGAATATGCAGTTAGAATTACAAAGATGCATAAAGCAACAGGTCCAGATGAAATTAATATAGAAGCAATAAAACTACTAGACGAGGAGAATATCGAAATCTTGGTAAGGCTGTTCAATAGAATTTATAATACTGGTTACATTCCGCGAGAATGGCTGCAGTCATCCTTTGTGATGATCCCAAAAACAGCTAATGCCACAAAATGCAATGAACACTGCTTAATCAGTTTAATGAGTCACTTGTTGAAACTCTTCCTTAGGATATTACACTCAAGAATGTACAAGATACTAGAAGAACTTAGCGGGTCAACACAATTCGGTTTTAAGGGAGGACTAGGAACAAGAGAGGCAATTTTATGTTTGAACACCTTAATACAAAACTGCTTAGATCAACGAAAATATGTCTACCTCACCTTCATCGACTACGAGAAGGCATTTGACAATGTTAAACATGATATCATGATGGAACTACTACATAAGGCCAACATTGACCAGAATTATTCAGAATCTATACTGGAACCAAATGGCAAGGGTGAGGATTGATCAAGACCAATATACGGATTAATTTGAAATCCAGAAAGGTGTCCGCCAAGGCTGCATACTCTCTCCGATGCTTTTTAATTTATGTGTTGAAAATATATTTGCGCTATGCGCAACCTACGCTATGCGGACGACACAGTGATTATAACTGATAATTTGGAAGATCAGCAGTTATTACTTGATAGGGTGAATAGCATAGGTAAAAAATATGGCATCAAAATCAACATTTTGAAAACGAAATATATGGTCATTAGCAGAAACCCTCCAGAAAACCCGATAATATGCATAGGTGACACTCGTATAAATCGCGTGAAAACTTTTAAATACCTTGGCACCACAATCAATGACCAATCGGATCCACAACACGAGATAAAAACCCGAAAATAAATGGCATTCAAGCTTTTGTGAAATTCAGACCGCTCCTATGTAATCAACACCTAAACTTCGAAATACGCTACAGAATGGTCAAGTGCTACATATGGTCCATCTTGCTTTATGGCATGGAAACGTGGACTTTGAAAAAAACATCTATCAACAAACTTGAAGCATTTGAAATGTGGTCATTGAGAAGAATGATGCGCATACCTTGGGTGGATAGAGTTCGAAACGATGACGTCCTTAATAGAGCCGGCGTGGAAAGAGAACTCTTTGAATTAATTAAAAAACGCAAGATTGGTTACCTTGGGCACATATTGAGAGGAGCAAAATATGAAATACCACAGTTAATCCTACAAGGGAAGATCGAAGGTAGAAGAGGAGCCGGTCGCAAACAATTATCCTGGTTAAGGAATATTAAAGAATGGACAGGAATACACAATACAGGTGAGCTGTGTCACGCCGCCAAGAACAGAATTCTAGTAATGAGATAGTCGCCTACGCACTTTGGTGTATGGCATGATAAGAAGAAGAAGGCGCAAAATAGAAAACACTGGATTGATTTGGGGGAAGCCTATGTCCAATGTTGGATTCCTTAAGGCTGAAGAAGAGAAGAATGTATAACATTTAATTTGATTATAATATTGATAATATAATTATATATTATGACATATAATTTGAGTATAACATTTATATTGATGCAGTTCTGACAACCCTGAAATTATTGTAATGATTTCGCATAATGTACACGAACCTTAATTATAAGTACGAGAACAGTCAACATTGTACGCCCATTTTTAAAAATAGGCTTGACCTTCGAATGTTAGCTTAAATAGCTGTAAAGGCTTGCTCTTTTTGCCATTTAAGGCATTTAATGCTGCATGCACTATTGTATGGAAACTATGCATAAAAAGGGACACCATAAAAACGCGCGAATGTAAACCTACCTCTAACTGCTACGAGGACGGATTATGTCCCTTAGATATGGAATTGTTTGTTTGTCTCGGCGAGGAAGGTGTCATCGTAGTACAGAAAAGTAACCTGGTCTCTTCGGTCGGCGAATTATCCAGGGGAGGAGGTGGCGGACAGATATACAGGGGCACTTCACTGACATTATCACCACAAACTTTTAATTTATTTGAATCCATCATCGGCATATCGTTACACGACTGTTTTTCTTTTAAAATATCGTCTAGTAGAAATAGTTGCGATTTGAGTAACCGCGTCCTTTCCAGTTCTTGCTGATACGTTGACAGGTTTTTCGACGTCGACTTTTGACTGGATGTTCTTCGGGATGCGGGAGGTGATGATAGTCTTTTGTTCGGACTGTAGTCGCTGCCAAAACCCACGTCTGATCCTGACATGTTATCAGAAATGAGTCGTTCGCTTTCTGGATCGGCATTTCTGTTACTGCTACTGTCTGATTTCTTCAAAATCGATTTTGAACGACGGTGTAGCTCTAGTTGCGGGCTCGTTCGGCTGTCAATGGAATCTACCGAGAGCGACGATTTGCTTCCGCTATTCTTTCCTAAAAATAAGTAAATATATTAAATATTTATTGCTGTAGAATTACATTTTATCTTAAGTGTCGTTTTCCGAACACATCCTTTCAGTCATATGTAACAATAGATATACTAAATCTACACTAATTTTCTGTTTTGTGTTAATAAGATATTTACAGTAAATTCTTATATCAAATTTAAAAGGGAAATTCACAGTGTGTACCATGGTTGGCTGTATACCATAGTTTTAAAAAACTTACTGTGAAGTAAAAACTTCTTGTGTAAAATGGTATAAAACTTATTAAAAATTTTAAAAATTATCCAAAGTGGATTTATAAGTTTTAGAACATTTTTAATCTTTTCGGATCATCATCAGTGAAAACCCTAGAAAGAAGTATTACCACTTAAAAAATGATATATTAATTCTACACTAATTTTCTTGTTTTGTGTTAATAAGATATTTACAGTAAATCCTTATATCAAATTTAAAAGGGAAATTCACAGTGTATACCATGGTTATTTGTATACCATAGTTTTAAAAAACTTACTATGAAGTAAAAAGTTCTTGCGTAAAATGATATAAATTTGTTTAAAAATTTTAAAAATGATCCAAAAAGGATTTATAAGTTTCAGAACATTTTTAATCCTATCGGATCATAATCAGTGAAAACCCTAGAAAGAAGCATTACAACTTAAAAAATGAGAACAAAACAGTAAAATTTTTGACTGTTAAATTACAAATATGGTTAATACTTACATCTATAAAGTAATTGGAACTAGCCACATAATGAGGGCAGAAGACCCTTAAATTACATAATTAAAGTAATAAACATTGTTATTATAAAGACGCTACGTCATAGATAACAGATTACATTTTTTAAAGGAATGCCCAAATTCCCGGCTCGAACAAGAACATGATTCAGTGAGTGGCAACAATCAACTATTGATAGAAGGAAGAAAAATTACTTAAACAAAACCTTCAATATAAGCGATAGGTAGTTTATAAGTATAAGGTAGTAGTATAAGGCATTAAAATACATGAAAAACAAGAAATCGCCTGGAAACGATGAAATAACTGCAGAGATGTTGAGATATGGTAGAAAAGTGGTAATTAATACTCTACATTCCCTTTTTAACAAGATATTAAAAGAAAAAAGAATTCCAAACAACTGGAAGGAATCCGTAACCATTATCCTACACAAGAAAGGGGATAAAGCAGATATAAAAAACTACCGTCCTATAACACTCCTCAAAGTAATGTATTTAAACTCTTAACAAAAATTTTAACCAATAGATTGACGACAAAATTTGATAGATACCAGTCGAAAGAACAAGCTGATTTTAGAAAGGGATTCAGCACAAGTGACCATTTACTGAGTATGAAAATATTTATAGAACGAGCTAATTAATACCACATTCCTCTATATATAGCGTTTATAGATTTCGAAAAGGCTTTCGACAGTGTCGAAGTATCATCAGCATACATGATGTTGTTTATGCTGATTCCGTTAATATTAATGCCGCCTTGGACCTGGTCTAATGCTTCTCTGAATATAGACTCCGAATACAAATTAAACAGAAGCGTTGATAAGACGCAACCCTGTCTCACTCCTCGTCGGATTTGTATATCTTCGGATGTTGTGTGCACTATTTGAATTGTTGCCGTTTGGTGCCAGTATAGTTCTGAGATAATTAATTCGCAACTCTTGTTTACCAACTCCAGTTGTTCTCAGAATTTCGATCTGAGAAATCATCAAAATGAGTTTACCATCAAAAGATCTTTCGATCTTTTGATGGTAAACACAGTGAAATTCTTTTCGATAGTCAACAAAACATACATATACATTTACATTCATGTCTCTGCATCGTTGCGTTAATACACACACACACACACACACACACACACACACACACACACACACACATATATATATATATATATATATATATATATGTATATATATAAACTATAACATATAACAAGCGAGTCTTCTGCTTGCTGGCGCCGCTTCTCGCATCCTAATTTCCAGCGTTTTCTGTCGAAGCAATCTTCAGTTGTTAGATCTCTGGCGGTCGACATCGTCTCTCCAGGATCGTCTTGGTCTACCTCGTTTTCTTCTAGTTGGCGGAGTCCATTCTTCTATTTTTTTTTTGGCCATCTATTTTCCGGCATTCTCTGAAGGTGTCTATACCAGTTAAGTCTTTTGGATTCGATTGTGTTTATTACGTCTAGATCGATTTCCATTTCTCTTCGAATATCTTCGTTTCTCACCCTATCAAGTCTAGTGAGCTGGCAACATCGTCTCCAGTAGTTCATTTCCATGGCCTTAATTTTTGATTTGTTTCTTTGGTTTATTTCCCAGAGTTCGGCGCCATACAGTCCAATACTTTCTATTATTGTTTTATAAATTCTTCTTTTATTTTCTATTGTTATTTTTTTATTCCATAATAGTCCGTGTAGCTGTCTGGTGGCTGATCTTGCTTGGGCAATCCTGGAATGTATTTCTTCGCTACTTCCTGCTTTTGATGTTATTTGGACTCCCATGTACTTAAAATTGTCTGTTGGTTTTATAGTTCCCATTTCGATTTGTAGGCTTTCTGGTTTTTCTCCTACAACTAAGTACTCAGTTTTGTGTATATTAATTGTGAGGCCCAATTTGGTGTACTCATCTTCCAGTTTTCTAATCATGTAGCTTATATCACTCTCGTCTTCAGTTAAAATGGCTTGGTCGTCAGCGAAATGTATCGTGTACAATCTATCATCTCCGATTGGGATGCCCATATTACAGCACTTTCTTCTCCACAGTGAGAGTGCCTCATTTAGATATATTTTGAAGAGTGTAGGTGCTATGCAGCAGCTTTGCTTTAGGCCCTTACTAATAGGAATTTCTCTAGTTAATCTATTTCCAGTTTTAATGTTTGCCGTCATATTTTTGTAGAGCTGTTGTACTGATTGTATATATTTTTTGCTTATTCCTTGTTTTTCCATTGCTACCCAAAGCATTGAAAGTGGTACACTATCGTATGCCTTTGTCAGATCTATAAAGATTATATGAGTTGACAGGTTGTGGGCTAATCTTTTCTCGATAACTTGCTTTAGAGAGAATATACTGTCCATGCAGGATCTGCCTGCACGAAAGCCATTCTGTTCTTCTACATCTGTCATCTCTTTTTCAATTTTATTTTTTATTATTTTTCCATACAGTCTTGAGAGTGAATTTATGACACTTAGCCTCCTATAGTTTGAACAATTATTTCTATCTCCTTTTTTGTATATGTTGTTAATATGTGCTTTTGTCCACTCCGGTGGTAAGTCGTGTCCATTATAGAATGTGAAGACATACGCCAGTAATTCCCGTAATACTTAGCCCTCCCGTGGGCTATGTTTTAATAATTCATTTGGTATACCTTGTGGTCCGCATGACTTCCCATTTTTTAGAGTTCGTATTGCAGCGTTAACACATTTAAAGCAAAAAGAGCCTCCCGTGTTCCCAATCCGTTTCGAAATCCGAATTGAGTGTGACTCATCTGAAACTCACACTTCTTGTAAATTCGTGTATGGATAATTCTGAGAAAAGTTTTAAGGACATGAGACATCAAGCTTAATATTCGATAATCATCGCATTGCGAGGAGTTCGATCTTTTTGGTAATGCTACGAATGCTGATTTTAGCCAGTCTGTTGGTATTTTACCTGTGTCATATAATATCTTATTGAATAGTGCTGTTATTAAGTCCATTCTTTTACTTTCGTTATCTACAATTAGTTTAAGTATTTCGACATTGATATTGTCTGGACCGGTGGCTTTTCCATCTTTCTGAGATTTTACTGCGTGAATCACTTCTTCTTTGGTTATTTCTGGGCCTTTTTCATTGATTCGATTATCTGTGGATGGTGGAAAACAAGGTCTATCGTCGTCAAAAAGAGATTATATGTATTCTTTCCATCTCTCTAGTTTGTCTTCTGTACCCATAATTATTTCATTATTATTATTTTTTAATATTGTTGCTTTTTATGAATATTAAAGGTGTCGTATTTTTCCTGAAGTTGTTCGATTTCTGGGCATTTTGTTGACATCCAGTTTTCTTTCGCCTCCCTGCACTTTTTTCTAATGATTTTATTGATTAGCTTGTATCCGATGTCTTCTTCTTGTATCTTTGTTATTTTTGTTTTTAGAGCAGTCCATGTCACTTCAATGTCTGTCTGTACCAAGTTTTTGATCGTTTTTATTTCTTACTCAAGCTTGATACTTATTTCTTTTTTCTGTTTAGGGTTTTAGAATGGGAAGAAAAAGGTATAAAAATTTGTGGACAACGCTTGAACCATCTAAGGTACGCTGATGACATCGTATTCATAAACGATAAAAAAGAGGAGTTGTTTGAAATGATAAAAAAACTGCACGTAGAAGCTGGAAAGATAGGCCTTAATATGAATTACAGCAAGACTAAAATCATAACAAATACAGATAAAGACATCACAATGGGGACAGGACAAGATAAAGTAGAACAAGTTCAGGATTATATATATATCTGCGTCAAACTATAAAACTTAACAAAGAAAACCAAACAGCAGAGATACGAGAGAAAAAGACGAGTTAGACTGGCATGGGCGGCATTTGGCAAACTAAGCTACATTCTTAAAAACAAAAGATATCCACAACATCTTAAGACTAAAGTATACAATCAATGCGTACTCCCTGTTCTGACTTGGTTCTCAAACGTGGACATTTACAAAAGCAAACATGGACAAAATCATAAAAACTCAAAGATCAATGGAAAGACAAATATTGCACATAAGACTAATGGATAAAAAGAGAAACGAGTGGATAAGAGAGAAAATTGAGGGATGTTAGACAAGAAGTTGCAAAATTGAAATGGAGATTTGCCGGACACAATATAAGACAAAAAGAAGACCGATGGAACAAAATTCTTATAAGTTGGAGACCGCGGGAATATAAATGAAGTAGAGAAAGGCCCCAAATGAGATGGGCAGATGATATCAAGAAGCACGTGGGCTCTAGTTAGATGACTGTAGCGACAGACAGAGAAGAATGAAAAAGGATTGGGGAGGCCTAAGTGCAGTAAAAACAAGAAAAAGGCAACGGTGAATAACAGAAGAAATACCGAGACTCATGTACCAAAGAAGAGAAATCTAAAATAAACATAAAAACGAGTACAAGAGGATTCACGCAATAATCAAGCAGAACATAAGACATACGAAAACACAATTTCATAGAAAAGAATGTAATGAAATTAAACACTATGATAACAAACACGATACATTTCATCAACAGAAGAAAGTAAAAAAGATCGCCGGAATCAAACAGAAACAACTATCCCCAAGTTAAGAAGACAAAAACGGACACAGAATATTAGATATCAATGAACGGTTGAAAGAATAAACACATGCCATTTTTAAGTTATTTGAAGATAAAAGATTAGAACACTATACACAGATTGCTATAACAGGTCCATCTATAACATCAAGTGAGGTTATATGGGCGACACAAATGGCAAAAAATGGAAAAGTCCTTGGCTTCGATGAAGCAGGTAAGTGCTGAAATACTAAAGTTTTTGGGAGAAAATGGAATTAAAGCTCTGTGTTGTCTCTTTAACAAAATTTATGACAATGGGATATTACCAACTGATTGGCTTAAGTTGACATTTGACACAATACCAAAGAAACATTTTGCAAAGACATGCAGTGATTATCGGACAAGTCCGATGAGTCACGTTTTCACGCAAGATCTTTCTGCGAGTAATACATAGCAGGATGTACACGATATTATAGGAGAAAATTATCAATACTTAATTCGGATTCAGGAGTGGCTTGGGTAGGCAAGGGGAGAAGTCTTGTTCAGTATCCAAGTTCTGATCCAGGGATGCAGAGATATAAATCAAACTGTATATATTTGTTCAATTCTTTACCTTTATTTTGTAAAGAATACCCTATTTGTAGAAAAATTTGTTTTTTAAATCATTATCTACTTTTTGACTTACGATATTAAACAGTTGTGATTTACCTGATTTAGTTAAATTTTGAAGGCCAAATAAATGTTGATTAATAATGCGAGTCGCTGAAGCTAAACCTCTAGAAGACATGAAAGACGGCCTCTTCTTCTTTTCTAAACTTTCTTGAGATTCATTATCCAAATAGTCTCCTCGCTCTCCAAATCGTGTGCGCGGACGACCCTAAAAATAAAAGCAGTTAAGTATTGTTAGTACTGGTACAGTGTCAAAGTATATATATATATATATATATATATATATATATATATATATATATATGTTTATATATATATATATATATATCTGTCGAGTCATTCAACACTGAGGAGTAGACAGATTGAGACCTCAGTGCCGAGAGACAGTTCATGCATTTATACAGAGCACGATACTGGTACGTCTCGAGTAAGGGGAGTAGGCAGATTGAGACCCCAAACTCGAACCGAACCGTATCACTCTTGATAATGGCTCCAATCTATATATATATATATATATATATATATTATATATATATATATTATATATATATATATATATATATATATATATATATATACCATTGCAAATTCGTCTCTATCTTCTGCTTTTCTTAAGAGCGTCTGTGTGTTTAACCCGGTCCAGTCGTGAATGTTTTTCTACCAGGATATTTATCATCTACCAGGACCAGAATGTTATGTTTAACTTTGTCGAAAGCTTTCTCATAGTCCATAAACGCAACGAAAAGATCTTTTTGTTGGTCTCGACAATATCTTTAAAAATGTTTTTAATAAGTGTGACATTAAGCTAATTAATCTATAGTCATTACAGTGTTTGGGGTTCTTGGTTTTTGGTAGCGGAACAAATAGTACCATTTGTTCTCACCAGATAAATAGATATCTCTCCAGAGATATAGATATCTCACCAGATTTGTATATGTTGTTATAGAGTATAGTTATTGCACTTAAATTGTCTTCGTCTATAAGTTTAATCATCGATATGATCGATATGAACTTTATCTGGCCCAGGGGTTCTGCCAGATTTGGAGTTGTGTATAGCATGTTGGACTCAGATTTTAATATTATTGGAGTTTCCTTGTTATCAATTTGTATTTGTTCCGTTCTTGTATCTATGAATTAATCTTCAATATATTTAGTCCATAGTTGTTTTATTTTAATTGGGTTATTAATAGGTTTATTGTTTTTGTCAATTAATCGGTTAGGTGTGTTTGTTCGTGATTTTCCAGATAATTCTTTCACTTTTTTATGTAAATTATAATAATCATGCTTTTTCTGCAATTTTTTCACTCAATGCATGTTCCATCATCCACTTTTCCTTAGCCTTTTTTATTTTGTTCCTTATTAATTTATATTTATCTCTATACTTATTTGGATCCTTGTTTCTATATTTTTTCTTTGTTCCACGATTTCTACTATTTTTTTAGTCATCCAAGGTTTTCGGCTTTCTGTTTTCTTTTGTAGAGTTTCTTTCTGTATTTTTATAACAAAATTTTTAATTTTGCTCCACATAATGTTCACACGCTTAGTTTTTTTCATTTCTGATGTTAATTTCTTCATTTATTGATTGTACAAGTTGAAGTCTCAGCTCGGATTATATCTATCTTGAGTAACTGAGCATTCACCTTAGAACTTTCGGATTTTATTATCTTTTTTATCCTCAGTTTTATTTTTGAGACAAGGAGGCTATGGTCTGAGGGGACATCTGCTCCAGGAAAAGTCTTAACGCTTACAATGGAATTTCTAAATCTTAGATTGGTTACAATGGCCATATGACCGACAAAGTTTGTATTTTAATTTCTCAAATTTTTAATAATATCAAGGCAATTATCATACTATCTTAATGTCAGTCGCCTGATTTGACAACTTTTGCAACATATTCAAATGTTTATTTTAATCTCTTCTTTACAATGCTCTAATCTCATCTATGCGATAGCCAATAAAGTGTTAAATCTAGTTCAGGAGCTTCGCCATCTTTTAATTATGGCATATATTACTTTTTGTCGTAGTGGTGCAGTATTTATTGTTATTTCTACTAATAGTCTTGTTCTTTTTTATGTAAAATATCTTTAACGTGTTTCTCTACATTAGAAAAAGAAATCGTTTAAGTATTTAAGACACACCACATTGCATTAATTTAAATTAAGTACGACTTACCTGAAACCTTGTTTTTCTATTTTTCGTATGCGGCGAATCGTTCAGACTAACCCTGCTTCCTCTCTCCAACAGCCCAAATCCCTTGAAGCCCTCATCCATTGGCGACGTTCCCAAACTCCTCAACGCCGTATCTCCCGAAGCAGATTTCTTGACCCCACCACCCCGAATAATCCCAGTCGATATCACTGGACTGTTGTCTCCGCTCTTGTCGAGTGGATTGACGTATAGGTTGCTGTCGATAATATTGGAATCTACTATATCGGACGTTAGATCCCCTTGCGAATTGAACGGGTGCGTAGTACAGCTGGCGAACGTGTCGGAACTGTCCATACTGTTGAGGTCGACGCTATTTACATTGTTCTTCTTCTCGACATCTAATTCGGGAAAGCCGAAAAGGTTCATATGTTGTTCGGATTCTCTGATAAGTCTCATTTCGAGGCAGACTGGATTTCGGAAGTCGCTTGTGGTTAATGGCATTAAGTTTTCGGCGTCGACAAATTCCTTAAAATCCTGATGGAAGTAAAACATTTTATTAGTTTACTTAACAACTATTTTAAAATAATAAATTCAACAGTCCACCCATGACAACGAGAAAGTTAAAACTAGCCTAAGAATGTAAAAGTGAGTAAACAATTAAAGCCTGATTTACCTATGCTCAAAAAAAACCTTTTAATATTTTTTTAAACATCATCGGATACCATATTTTTTATATACATGAAAAGCACCGTGAGGTCACACAAATCCAAATTAAATTTTGTTTTTTTTTAAGTCTTCATGAACAAAAAAAATTTACCACAGTTTATTGAATCTTATCTTATTACAAATTATATAGTATGTATATATCTTATTTTGTTAAAACCAAATAGTTGTTATTAAATATTTTTTCGTTAATTTAAAACCCAGCAAAATAGTGAAAATAATATGAGTACGAATGTGGTAAGTGCGCTTAAAAAAGAGGAGTACAAATTGTTTGCGATCATGACAAGAAGACAAAATTTGAAGACGTGTGGCTAGTATTATTATTAAGAAATACAAGCAGGTACAGTCGCCAACAAATTATTGTAGAATTTATTATCTGCATGTCATTATGAAGTCTTGTCTATTTGATGGGATTACTAACAAAAGCAGGTAGCAGTGGCATTGTGTTCATCTCTGACTGAACTATTTGTTTTTGGTAGATACCTCTCGAAACTTAACGACACCACTCAAATACAAATAATGACTTTGTAATAAGCTTAACATGGAACATGGATAACATCAGATGTAGACCAAACCAAAGAAATTAAGACACGTATTGAAATAGCACGTACATCATTTATTAAACTTAAAAAGTTTCTTTGTTGTCGGGATATAAGGTTAGAACTACGCCTGAGAATGCTACGATGTTACGTGTTCTCTACTCTTCTTTATGGTCTGGAAGCTTGGACACTAAAACAAGTTCATCTGAATAAGCTGGCCGCCTTTGAGTTTTGGTGTTACAGAAGAATCCTACGAATATCATGGATTCAAAGAATGTCAAACATGGAAGTAACTAGAAGGATAGGAAATGAGGCGGAAATAATATTAACTATTAAAAGACGAAAACTTGAGTACTTGGGACATGTGATGAGAGGGCAAAAATACGCATTATTACAACTTATTATGCAGGGCAAAATCCGAGGAAAGCGAAATGTGGGAAGACGAAGAATATCCTGGCTTAAGAACTTAAGGGAATGGTTTGAATGCAGTAGTGCAGAACTTTTTAGAGCGGCAGTCAACAGAGTCCGCATAGCCATGATGATTTCCAACCTTCGATAGAAGATGGAACTTAAAGAAAGAATAAGCTTAACATAAGGTTTGCTGCAATAACTTGTTGGCAACTACACATCGGTAGTTTGGCTGTCCCCATTATCGTAGTTATAATGCCACCAGATACGAACACAGACCCTACCACCTTCATTTCAACCACACAAGCTACGCAAACAGTCGCATTTCTTTTTTATTTTTTTTTTGGTCTCCAGCTGATACGTATTTAACCGACACTCGAATTTTATATCAGCGTTATAAATATATAAAAAGTAGGATCATTTTAGCCTTTCGCATACGTATTAAAAGTGTCTGTTCAGATTTGCCTAAGGTAGTCAGCAGTTCTCTTTGGTAGCGCTGATTAATCCTCAAGTACTACAGCCGACCAGTAGGAGGTTCGTTACCACAAAGCAGGTAGAAGAGGCAAAGCATAACAGAGTGGCTGTAACTAGAGTCATAAATTATTTTTCGGGCGTTAATCCGAAATACAACAGGGTAAAACGACTTCACTATATTAACATTGTTAATATAATGGACAGCCGTCCCGTCAGCGTAGCGTTTAATCATTATGGAGTCAGTGGTGTAGTCAGCTCCGAATCTATAATGAGTCAGTGTTAAACGAAGTTTAAGAAAAAAATAAAAGAAAAACTTTAAAAACTTTGACAAGAAATTAGATAGGACACAGATCTTCAGAATTATAAGGCCGCCAAAAAGAAAGCGAAAGTAGGAATAGTAAAAGCGTATAAAGATCTATACGATCAACTTTATAAAAGGAAAGGTGAAACGAAATATATATATTATAAAAAATCCATCATCGAAAAGGGAATATGGATATGATATCATGAACTTTGCCAACTGTTAAAAGAAATATCTATCTCAGAATTCGATTTATTTCATAGACTTTGATGCAAGTGAAATGACAGCGGACGCGCATAATTTGCACTGAACGTCAGAACTTGGAGACTTTGACAGTCTTCTTCTTTAAGTGCCATCTCCCAATCAGAGGTTGGATACCATCATCACTATCTTAACTTTATCTACTGCTGCTCTGAAGAGTTCTATAGAACTGCATTTAAATCAGTCCCTCAAATTCTTCAACCATGACACTCTCCTTCCTATACTCCTTCCTCCTCTTATCTTTCCCTGTATTATCAGTTTTAGTAGTTCATATCACTTTCCCCTCATTACGTGTCCCAGATATTGTGACACAGTAACGCTTCTTCATTTTTATTGTGTTTATTATTTTGCATTTTTTGCCCATTTCTCGCAATACTTCCGTGTTAGTTTTCTTCTGTGTCCATGCTATTCTAAGCATCCTCTTGTAACACCACATTTCAAAGGACTGTAACTTATTTATGTGTCCTTACTATTAGTAAGACAAGTTCTAATAAACAAAAATATAGACAGCCGAGATATTCGAATTATATGCAATCTATATTGGAATCAAACAGCAAATGTCAAGGTTGAGGGCAGACTAACAGAAGAAATTCAAATCCGTCGAGGAGTCCGGCAGGGATGTATCTTATCGCCACTTTTATTTAATCTGTATAGTGAAGCTATCTGTGAACAAGCACTCGAGGAAGAAGATCTTGGTCTGATAATAAATGGTGAGACGATCAACAATATAAGGTAACGCTAGTAGAGCTACAACATCTCGTTCAAAGTCTCAATATATACTGTAACAGTTACGGCTTGAAAATTAATTTGAAAAAAAACTAAATTTATGGTAATCACGAAATCAAAGAACATCAGAGCTAATCTTGTAATAGACAATACAACGATTGAGCGTGTGCCCTGTTATAAATATCTAGGTGCTTGGATCACAGACGATACTGATCAAACAAAAGAGATTAGATGTAGAATAGAAATCGCTAGATCAGTCTTTAATAGAATTCGCAAACTCTTTTGCAATCGTGATATCAATATAAAGTTACGAATACGAATGCTGCGGTGTTATGTCTTTTCTACCCTGTTATATGGAGTTGAGGCTATGTGATTGGAAGAAGAAAAAAAGAAGATATTCAGGAGAGCAATAATATTTTTAATCATATTAGACGTATCGGGCACGAAATAATGTGTGGAGGGAGAGAAAAATTGGCTGAGATTAAGAACGTGATATAAGTGTAGGACTAATGTAGAAGCAGCATGTTAGTACCTGTTTACAAAAATAATTAATATGTTCATTAATGACAAACTGTAAGGCCATAAAACTAGTTAGTCACGCCAAAAAATGGGAAATAGCAATTGATAAACGGATAAGTAAACAAACTGAAACATCTGGAAATCAGTTTTAATTTATGCAAGGCAGATCAATACCAGATTCAATTTTTATTATAGCGTACCAAATGGACAAATATATGAATAAAAAAGATAAAGCTTATGTGGTATTCAATTATCTTTTTTTCTTTTCTTTGTTTCTTATTACTTGGTCACAAATTTTTGTATTTTCACGTAATCAGAGCCTTTATTCATTTCATAATCGCTGCACACTGAAAAACTGTTTTTATTCTGACCATCTGATTCTATATCTAATTATTTAATTCATTTTCCAACTGCTTTACGCTCAGATATTTTCATTTCCAGTAATCACTACCATCGATCATGGTCGTATCTTTTAGGTTAACAGAGATTACAATTTTTTTACAAGAAATATATTGTCAAATTTAACTACCATACTATTAAATTCGCTGAAATAAACAAATATATGAAAAATGTACCCAAAAAGACATTCTACGTCAAAATAATCCCACACACTTAATGTCACTGCAAACAGACTTCACTCATTCTGTATTCTGTTTATGAAGCTCGTATAATTGGACTGATTCTCTGGATTGCAAGTGTGGCAAAAGTCACACCATCCAAAGTTAAAGGCGTTTATTGGATGTTTTGACAATAGGTCGATCCACGCAAGTCTAACAAGTAGCAAGCCTAACTTGTCTGCACTCACTGCCTACACTACATCACACAAGTATAACGAATTTTGCAAGCCGCACGTGTCATCCTATCCTTAATTGAAATTTTGATAATCGCTACGATCTACAATAATAGGCGAGAAACGCAGTACTAAGTCTAACAATTTTCCGCAGCAAGATTAATCGCTTTGCATTTATGATAATAAAATGAAAATTGCATTGTGCACTAAGGAAAATACATTTCCAAAGTATGGAAATACCTCTAATACCTCTGATATGGCACGTGAAGAAGAAGAATCAACATCAGATGATCAGATGACATAACCCTGTTGTTCATGTCGGCTTCTGTAAGTAGCTTTAGTTGTTAAGCTGTAATATCCTCAAAAATTACATTATTATTATTATCCAAATTTAGCCATACGGCCCACACTCCCTCTAAGGGGAAAATTCACTCATCCCAGATACCTACGGTATCAAAAGGATTGAGCTCTGGTGGGACTCTTTCCGTGTTATCGAGACCTAGGTGACTTGGTATGCTGGAGTATCTCCCAAAAATTTTCGTACACATCGGGATGTTGAGAGTAGTACAGCTTTTTGCATGGTCTTGTAGAGATGTTCATTCAGACCTAGCTTTTTTATATTTTTTAGGAGGTTCTTTGGAATGACTCCAGTAGTAGAAAGAATAATAGGTATTGTCTGGGTACTTTCCATTTTCCACTGTCTTCGTATTTGAATTTCCAAATCCCTGTACTTGGCGATTTTTTCGTTCTGTTTAACACGAAGATTATTGTTGTTGGGTATCGCCACATCAAT